TTATATATGAAAAATGAAAGCCTCGTATTTTTGGTCATTAAGTTTATTAAATTTTAATAAAAAACTGAGACCAGGCTCACTCTTAAAAATAAAATTCGCTTCATCATATTTATACGAATTTTACAGGAGAGTCAACAAAATTTTTTATAATCTTGGGGTAAAATTGATCAATTCTGATGTATTCTGACGCAACCTCCTTGTATGAGTTATATTAATACGGTCAATTTGAATAATAAATTCTCAACACCGCATCTATTTCAAAATAGAATAGAACTTAGAAGAATGTTGTTCTGCATTTTTGGTTTGATGTATCGAGTAAATAATAATCTATACATAAATAAAAAAAAAATTAATTATTGCGATATAGTAAAAATATAATCGAATGACTTATTTGTAAACATTTCCCATCGTATTAATTATAAAAAAGTCGATTTTTACCAATCAAAAAGTAAAAAAAAAAAAAATTAAATAAAACGCAATAAAAAAATTATATATTAAACCCTTTTGTATAAGTTTTTAGTGCTAAATTTTGTTATTGAAATGCAAATATTTTTAAGTATGCCAAAATTCAATAAAAAGCTGTTATATCTGAATACAAATACCTTGTATCAACATTTTATAAACGCATTTGCTTATAATCAAATGGTTCTAACCACAAATCCATCATCATCAAAACCTAAATTAGTTGAAGAAGAAAATGAAAAATGGCATGAGATCAAAAAAAAAGGAGATGACATTATTCAAGAAGAAATACGAATTCTTTTGAATACTCCAATTCCATTGCAAGCAATCGGATTCATTAAGAATTCTAGTCGTAACTCGTCATGACCAAGTAATTTAGTATCCACCCCGCTTTCTTCTACTATTTCTAAAGAATATGAAATACGTCCTAATGCTGCTGCTTAAAAAGCTTTATATGAAAAAATTAAAACAGCAAGAAATAAGATTACCGAATTCGAATCTTTGTACAATATAGCTTCAGATACTAGTATTAGAAGCGATCTTGCTATTAGAATACAAGAGCAAAAAGATATTGTCGGAACCAATGATAAAAAAATTGAAGCACTTAAACGACATACAGCAAATCAAGCCCGGATAATGGCTAAAAAACAAAACCAACTTGAAGAAAAAGGTATTGTTGAACAATGGGAGGATGCTGGAAGACCATCAATTCTTGCACAAAACCCGGACCTCCTCGAACACATTCATAATTGCATCGAATATGGCGAAGCAGAT